AAAAAAAAAAGAGAGAGAATGCTCCTCGACAGCCTCGGCTCCTCCTCCCCCCTCCCTGTCGAATCCGTCGAGCTCCTTCCCCCGCTCATCACCGACCCCCCGTCGCCCGCATCCCCATCCCCTTCACTCTCCCAGACACCATGCCTGTCTACGTTATTCACCCCGTCCATAATGGTGTTCTACACTCCCCACCCCCCTCCTCGCCCCCTTGCTCCCCCCGGCCAAGCTGTCCACCGACCCTCTCCGCCTGGGCCTAGGCGCGTCGGCCACGGAACCAGCTCAGCCTCTTCTGCGACGGCATCACCCCCCACGGCCATCACCCGGCGCATATCTTGCACTCGGGCAACTCCCTTGTCCGAATATCGCCTGGGGGTCCGCTGCCGTTGGGCGAGTGGCTGGCCAGAGGGGAGACGGGTAGTATATCCCCTTCTTTCTCCTTCCGCACCTCCGCCTCCCCAGTCGTCCCTACCCCCGTGGCTCCAGATCCCAATGTACAGGCTCCCGTCCCCACACCTGAAGCTCCCGTTCCCCATGGGCACCCCGTCCTCCACCACGGCCGTCGTACCGGTTGCCGTTGGCCCAGATGAGGGACCCCCGGCGTCGGTGATCACCCGGACGTCCATTGCCCGTTGTAGCTCGTTCCCGCGTTCTTTCCAGATGTACCGGCCGGTGCCCGTCCTGGCATCCCGGACCGCGCCACTCCCCCGTCGTAGCAGTCGCCATTGGCGTAGCTCTTCTTGCCGGAGCCGTGCCTTGAGGTTCATGCTCCAGCCGCCGCGGTAGGTTGTCGCCGTTGATGCCGATGTAGGTCCCGTTGCCGTCCATGAAGCCGGACTTGAAGCTCTCCCTCGTAGGCGGCGCCGGAGGGCCAGGAGAACTTTCCCCGGCCATGGTCTTGCGTTGGCGCCACTCGCCCTCGGTACATGCAGCCGTCGGTCCAGAGGTACTTGCCGACCCCGTGGGGGAGGTGGGGTGCCACTGGCCGGTGTAGAAGTCGCCGTTGGGGAGGAGCTTCTCGGCCGTGGGTGAGCCGGAGGGCTGGCTTGGGTCGTCGGCGCTGGTGGGTCGGAGTCGTCGGACATGGTTTTTATGCGGCGGCGGCGGCCGACCTTCTGCTGGCTCTCTGCGGACGCTGGACTCCCACGCTGCTGCTGCTGCCTCTTTTCTTCTTCCTCGACGCCGACGACCCACCGCTGGTTGTCCTTGTACATTACTCTCTTCACTCTCCCTCCCTCCTCTCTCTCCCCACCCCTCGCTCGCTACTCCCTCTTTTTCTTCGTTTCGGTCGAGGGGTCTCCTCTGTTGATGATGAAGCCATTGGCGGTGTGGTGGCGATGATGATGATGATGAAGAAGAAGCTCGAAGGAGGAGTTTCTTGTTCTATGGGAAATGCGGAAATGGGCTTGTGGGGAATCGTGATCGGAGTAATGGGTTGTTTTTTTTTTTCCACCAAATTTTTGGGGGGTAATTTTGATTTTTTTTTTTTTTTGGGGTGTTGTTTTGGTTAACTTGGGGGAAAAGAGGAAAAACTAATTTTGGGTTGGAAAAAGAAGGGGCCCCTAGAATGGCTCAGGGCCCCAACATTTGGAGGGAGGGAAGAGGAAGTTATCCCTACTTTGTAGCTAGGATTCTTGCAGCAAAATTTTTATTTTTATTTTTATTTGTATTTTTTTAATAGGGGTGAAAAAGGATGTGAGTGGATGTCTTTTGGGGATTTCTTGGGCTTGTTTGATGACGACTAGCCTCTAGATTATTTTGCAATATTATGATTTCACAGTTTAAGTGCTAAGGGCATCTCCAACCCAGCCCCATTTTGGTGCAAACAGTGCTTTTTGTTGCACTGTTCCTTCTTCAATCCAGCCTCATTTTCTGCTCCATTTTGGTGCAAATGAACAGTGCTGCACCAAATATGGCGTCGCACTGTTCATCCGCCCCATTACTATTCACTTTTTTTAAAATTTTTTAAATATTTATTTTTACCTCTCAATTAATATAAAAATAGATAAAAGGGAATAAAGTGAGAATATACTGAGAATATTCTTTTTTGGTGCAAAAAATGGTGGAATGGGTTGGAGATGTTTTACTGTTTAATGTGACTTTTGCACCATTTTAATGCAAAATTTGCACCATTTTGGTGCAATGAGTTGGAGATGGTCTAAGTACAGCATTACATAGCATTAAACAACATAAAATACGTGTACGCGCAGATGGTCTTTATTTTTTTAAAGAAAATGAAAGAGGTCAAAAGCCTCAGCCTTCATTCAACCAGAAAAAGAAAGAGGGCAAATACGAAAAGAAAAAGTCGGGGAAAAGAAGAAGCTGAAATACAGAGAAAGCAGTCAATATGTATGGTGTTACCTTTACGAATTGAATCAGTCGCTAAGTAAATAAAATCTTTTTATAATTAGCATGTTGTATCTGAGCTCAAGATCCAAATCCTACAAAAATCTTTTTGCATCATGACTTAAGTGTTGTGTTAATTGTATTTACGTTTTTTCTTTTGAATTTTTTCTTTCTTAGCGTTTTCTAGAATATGTTTAACCCAATCGCTGAAAAGATAATTATATTTTCAAGGTTTAACATTAAATAGAAAATCATTAGCAAACGAAAGATTATGTAACTAAAACTCTTTAATTAGCATACCAAATATCGACAACAATAATAATTCATAATTAATGATGACGACAACAACTTAAAAGCCTTAAAACGTAACCACTTGGTCCTTTGGGTCCATGACTCGCCGAAGCGTTTGTGATCCAGTCTTGATAAATAAAGCAAAGAAGTGAGAGATCATCTGAGCTCTGGCTTAAAGTAACATCATCCTACTACAATCATTTGTTTTGAAATGAGTATACTATTTTTTATGACTTTACATTACGGTGTGAGCCTACTTCGGTTTGAACCGAACAAACCAATCAAAGCCGAAGAAATTTAACAGTTCGGTTCGGTTTTTATTAGATTTCGGTTTGGGTCAGGGTAAAGTTTTTTCAACCCGAACCGACCGAATTGTATTACTCATTCTAATTATTATTTACATCCGCTTAGACTCGAGCCAGTATAGTTCATATAGAGTTATTTCTCTGCAGCTTGATATATTTTTCTCTCACGCGACCTGATAGCGATAAAATACCTCAATAATAGTGTCCTTTCTATTTCTAGGGCTTTTCATTATCTCTAGTTCTCTATCCCTCTCTATTACATATTCGTTTCTTCTACTTTGGACCAATCCACTTAGGAGGTAAGAAACTTAAACTATAATGTTGATTCTAATATTTTCCTGATTTTCTCCTTGATTGATACATTTTTGGATCAGACTTCTCTTTGAATCAGATTTATAATTTTATAGAAACTATATCCAACACCCAAGTTACTACATATTTTTTATTTACTTTGTCTATTAGATTGAGATCACTTTAATTCTTTATGTAAGTTGTCTCTAAAAATATTTATGTAATCTTTAGTAGGAATAAGATTTTGATTTCTACATCTAATATTCAGTAGCATTTAATAGTTTATGAATTTTAATAAATTGAAGTGTAAGAGATTTATTTCTTCGTCAACAGATTAGAGGTGAAATTGCATTTGGACATAACATTTGTACCTAAGTGAAAACCAAACAAGCCGACCTGAACCGAACCGAACTGACTTGAATTGGTTCGCTTCGGTTTTGAATGATAGGCTGCTCGGTTCGGTTTGGCTAATTTTAGCCAAAAATCGAACGGACCGACCGATTGCACAACCCTACTTTACATGTTACCTTAAACCGAAATTATTTTCTGACAAGTTATTGAGATCATGAATTAATACTTATATACTCTTCACATGTAGTATATTATATATATACATATATATACTTAGTAGTATATCATTATACTATCCTATAATTATATATATATCCTACCGTATCATCAGCGTATTTATAATGATAGCGTATATTATAGAGAAATGGTAAACTGTGGTACCAAGTTGCTTTAAAGCAACTTGTAGTGTAGTGTGGCTAATCTTGTCCCTACATCTACCATTGGACGTTAGTGAAGGGTGGTTTGAGGCTTATTCTTCGAGGTTGAAGATGTATAGGGGCAAGATTAGGCCACATCACCTCACCACGTTGCTTTAAGCAACTTGGTACTAAGTTCTGCCATTTCTCTCTCTAATATATATAGTATATTATATTATATAGTATAATTACTCTTCACCGAATATTACAATTCGAATAAAACAAACAATTGCAAGTCTAAGTGCAACTATTTTTTTATTTGTAGTTGATCTTTTTAATTTTCGCCTCAGATCAGCCACCGATTTCATAAAGTTCGAATAGATAATGAGACCAAACAACAATCATTATAATCATCAATCAATACTCTAAAAAGGGATGCACAGTTGGAGGTTATAATGACACGTGTGAACTTAACGCATTTTATTAAAGTTGATCTGTAGCATAATTATGTCTTTAGATGGTTCTAATTCATTATTAAGTCTTTTAATTTTATGTGCGAGGAAAAGTTAATGTTCTATGGCGGATGTTTCCATGGCTTTGTCCCCGGCATTTGGGATATTAAACAGCATACAATAAAAAATATATATATTAATATATTGAAAGCATAATGATTGATAAAGACACTAATAAGAAAAAGATAGTCTTTGTATGAGGACCCAAATCTCATAGGATCCTTATAATCCGCGTGGGAGGGCCCATAGATAGAGCTACTTGCTCTTACGAGCCGAGTTTAGTTAGAATTTTGCACATAGAACCCCTGTGAATTCTTCACTTGGCACTTTTGTATTCTTCGAGGAATTACACTCTAGCAAAAATAAAAATGAACCAATAAATTAGGAACGAGGAAACCAATTAAGGGACAAACGATATGTAAATTTTAAGCATTGATGATGGATGGAATCTCAAAGATACGACCCACATTAGTTTGTCCTGTACTATTGTCCCATGAAGGGGGTTCTGTGACACTTTGAAAGTTGAGCGTGGTTATCTCATAAATTTGCCATGTGCTTGCGTAATGGTGCATGAAATTTGACCCTTCATTGGTTCCAAGCCACCAACATAAGCATCACGCGCAAGCGTTTGGTCCCATAAACGTAGGGAATGAGCCTCCACAACATCAGTCATCAAATTGGGGTTCCACTTCAAGTTGTCATGCAAATATTCTACTCTCTCAATTAACCTCACTTTTTGTTCTATTTGCTAATGTGAGTGCTCTAAAGATTCATGTGCGCCCTTTGTGAGATCCTAGCAACGTGCATGACGTTGAAATAAATGTTAAGCTAGTCACACATCACAGCAACCCGAGATGTTTTAGCATTAAAATAATGCTAATTTTTTTTTCTCCTCTGAATTATATTAACAAGAGTCATATGTGTTTGCTTTTGGAAGTTATTGATATTCTATAAATAACCAACTAGGCAACCTTCCTCCTTGCGGCCTTGCCCCTTGGGGTATTTTGTGCATAAAGCCAATCTGTGGGTCCCTGATGCTGAGGTGGCATTGTCAGGGAAAATAAGATCATATGCATGTGACTTTAAATGTTATACGTACGTGTCTTGCTATAAATTTTAAATTAGTGCAAATTAATTAAGGACATAGAAAAGAAGTGCAGATAACAAAAATTAGTGTAAATGGTTAGAAGATTAATATAAATAAATTTTTGAATCAGTGCAATAATATAGAAATTAACCCAATTTCCAATTTTAAAATTGAAATTGGAATGTTGTTAAGTATCCTCCAAATGAGTGAATTTTCTCTGAGGTCATGTACAGATCTTTGTTGGTTGTTTTGGGGGAAACACTAAACACCAAACAGTACCTTTTGTTATTTGGATAGCGAGCAAAAGAGGTGACAATGGGGGCCCACAAGCACTGTTTTGTTCGTGGTTCCACGCTTGCTTGCCTTTTGTGTTGCAAGCCATTCCTTCTTTCTCCTTCAGAACCCCTTCGATGTTTCTCCTCATTTGTACTATCATGTTCACCGACTAAGCGACAATCGAGTGAGCTGTCAAAGTAAGAAATATCTGCTTCTATGAAGAAAAGAAAACCAAAAAGATGTTGGGGAGAAATTGGGCTCAGTGTAGAATTGATGGGCCTTAAACATAATTTAAGAATCAATTTTAACCCAAAAGCTATAGCTATCAAGAATTGACTCAAACTCCTATTTAAACTCATCATTCTTTCTTATCTTATCATTCTTATCTTATTTGATGTGGGACTATACTCACATATTAATCACCTCAATAACTCTCCCTTAATTTATGAGTATATTTTAATTAAATTATAATTCAATCTTCCACGGAATTCACTAAGTTTTTTGCACCATTTCACTCGTGGGCTAACCAATTCGTGAACTTTTGCACCACTCCACTCGTGGGCTAACCAAACAATGCATTCAACACATAGCTATTAAACATCCGTACGAACTTCTACTACTTCACTCATGGTGGTTAACTAGACTATATCACTCTTACGGGCATCCGTTGATTTTCCCGACACCTTAAGGCTTCACATCGAAGATCATCTGTTTTTTTTTAATTACTTGGACCATGAAATTAACTCTGATACTACTTGCTGGGGGAGGAATCAGGCCCAATCTAGAGTTAATGGACCTTAAACAGAAGTTAGAAATCAATTTTAACCCAAAAGCTATAGCTATCAGGTATTGATCAAAACTCTTATTTAAACTCATCACTCTTTCTTATCTTATCTGATGTAGGACTATACTCATATAATAATCACCTCAACAAAAGAAAGGGAGGTTAGGTAGCTATGGTTATCTAGGATCCATACTTGCTATGGAATTAATTTACTCCGTGAGTAGATAACCTTCATCTTTGGGAAATATCTCTGATTTGTACAAGGTTCCTAGGGGCGGATCAACTAGAGCACACCAACTCACAATGCTCTCTCATGTCGACTTTGTATCATGTCCTCGACTGGGGATACCCGAATACCTCTTCTTCACAATCTTTCTCCTCGATATGTAATAAGCCTTCAACCAGAGCAGATAAATTGACTCAACAGGCATACGAGAATCACAATCAAAGTACTAAAAATATAGTTTCATTATGCATACAGTCTGATATCGGATATCGATTAATCGAATTATGCAACGATTAACCAGATTATACGGACTTTTTCTTTCTTGAAATTTATGATATACATATATTATTTATCATATAAAAGTATGATAATTCATGAAAAATATAAAAAATTCCAAGCAAATCACTAAGAATAATACCCAAATAATTCAAATCAAAGTCGTCATATACTTAAAAAGTAAAACTATTAAAAGTTGATAAATTAAAAATAATCACATAAGTAATAACACTTCAAAATACTAATAAAACTCATCATCTAGTCTTCCCCCATCATCATTGTAGTGGTAAGTGATGGAAACAAGGGTGGGAAATAACAGCAGTTGGCATCTACACTCGGTGGCGGTCAGAAACTGTGATCGCTGTCAACTCGTGGTGGTGGAGAGGAGATTGCGCAGAGGTGACTAGGTTTAGGGTTTTAAAGCTGTTGCGCGTCTTTGCGAAAGCGTGCTCGACAACCAAACAAGTTCGTGAGTCACGGGAGAAGATAACCAAACCAAACACGAGCACAATCCAATCCAAAATATGACAAATCAAACCAAACACAAAGATATACATGGTTCGGCAATTTGCCTACATCAACGGGGAGAGATTCTACTAAATCAATAAGAGTACAAAGGATTACAATCTCACAAAATTACTCAAATAAACCCTAAACCAAATCTCTCAACTTGCTCACAAGTTCTCCCTTACAATCTCACAAAATTACTCAAATAAACCCTAAACCAAATCTCTCAACTTGCTCACAAGTTCTCCCTCTCAATATGCTCAGTACAACCAAATCTCTCAACTTGCTCACAAGTTCTCCCTCTCAATATGCTCAGTACAATCTCAAATCTCTGATTAGAAATTCTAGAAAATCGTGTTTCAATATATACCAAAACACAATCCCAAAGCAAACAGGAAAAAAAAGCCCAAGGCCCAGCTCGATACGCGGTCAACCGCAGAGAAAGTCGCGGTCGACTGAAACCAACGACAGAAACTAAAAAATGACTACATGGTTTGGCGGTCGACCGCATATGTTTCCGCGCATATGTTTCCGCGGTCGACCGTCAAAAGTCTAGAGGCCTTCCTTGAGTCTATGCACGTTTCCCGTCGACCACACATATTGCCGCGGTCGACCGGACAGAACCAAAATATGTCCTCTGTGATTTCCTGTAATTTGACTGTTTCTCTTCAATTCTCCACCTCGGTGAAGTTTTACCAAAACTAAGCTGACACCAAACAAAGAGCACCATTGCGTCGTCTCTCCAAACTCGGCTGCACTAATGTGGTTACCTACGTACCCCCTCTCCCAAGGGATCAAGCCGTCCGTAGTTCATCCAAATAGCCATCAACGGCCTCAACAATCACGAATGTACAACAAGTTTTGACAATGATCAAATTTATTGCTCGGAACCACCTTAGTGAGTATATCTGCCGGATTATCCTTCGTGTGGACCTTCACAATCTCCACATCGCCATCTTCAAGAGCATCTCGAACGAAGTGATAACGAACGTCAATGTGCTTCATCCTCACATGAAAAACCTGATTCTTCGTCAAATAAATAGCACTCATGCTATTACAATGAATGGTGACGGGCCGTTGCGAAATACCAAGTTCCTCCAAAAGTCCCAGAAGCCAAATAGCCTCCTTCACAGCCTCTATAATCACCATATACTTTGTCTCCATCATCGACAAAGCCACTATAGACTGTAAGGTGCATCTCCAACACACCGGTGCATGGGTCAAAGTGAACACATACCTCATTGTAGACCGGCGCTTATCCAAATTCCCGGCATAATTCGAAACAACATAGACAATGCATAACTATCCACCTCTAGTGTCCCACTCATAAACCAAACCAAAATTGAGGGTACCATGAATGTACCTCAAAATCCATCTCATGACGTCCCAATGACCCACTCCTGGATCGTACATGTATCTCGAAACCATGCTCACCGCATATGACAAATCTGGCCTCATACATACCATCACATACATCAAGCTAGCAACCGCACTCGCATATGGAGTCTTCGACATCAACTCTCTATCTTCAACTGTCTTCGGTGAAAGGTCAGCTGAAAGCTTTAAATGAGCTCCCAAATGTACACTAATTGGCTTCGTATTCATGCTAACATTAAACCGTTGTAGAACATTCTTCAAATAAGCCACCTGTGTTAAACAAATTCCACCCCTCTCTTTGTCTCTGCTGATCTCCATCCCTAAAATGCGCTTTGCCTCACCCAAATCCTTCATCTCAAACTCTTTTGAAAGCTGAATCTTCAACTCATCAATAGCGGATCTGGAAATAGAAGCAACCAACATGTCATCAACATAAAGCAACAAATAAATGTGCGCACATCCTTTCAACTTGCAAAAATAAACGTAAGGATCAAACTGGCTCCGAGTATATGAATGACCGATCATAAATCCATCGAATCGCCTATATCACTGTCGAGGAGTGTAAAACCCCATAAATTTGAAAATTTTTATGATAAATAATGATAAATATGTTTTATGCTAAAAAATAACATATTTTGATGTTTGAGTATGATAAGAATTGATTTGAGATTAATTCAATATATATTTGTAAATATATGAGTGCAAATGCACAAAACATGCACGAAGAGAAATCTGGAAAAAATAACCAGTTAAGAGTTTCTATATTTTACATAGTAATGCAGTTGGAATCTAGAAAAACTAAAAGACCAGAGTTGTAGGTCTCTTCAAAAGCTTTCTAAAAAATCTTAAATCATCTCATTATGAGGTCGGATGAGAAAGTTACAGTCAAAATATCGAAGGTGATTTTCTCAGTCAAACTAGGTTTCCTGGTTCGGGTCAAACGGGTTTGTTTCGGGTTTGCCTCTATAAATACCTATATTTTTCATGAAAAATCCTCTTTTTTATCATATCTCTGAACCCTAGCAGCCACTCTCTCCACTCAAAAACCCTAGATTTTTTTCTTATGAATTTTGAAAGCTTTGTGAAGCACAATACCGACACGAGGGTGAGATCATCAACGTGTGGTAAGGGAGAACGTGTTGTTTGCACTTGTGGATTGCATGTTGTTTGTTTCAGAAGCTTGCACATGATTTTAAGGTAAGATCCCTTTCTCTTTGACTTGTCGTTTTAATTTTTAGACCTATTATGAATTTTCTTGGACTATACTGTGATTTGATTATGTTATGGTATGAAGATTGTGATAACTGTGTAGGCTTGTTAATGAATAATATTTAAATAATGATAATATGATAAATAGTTTTAAAAAATTATTTTGTAAAAAGAGCTATTTTGCGATGTTTTTAAAAGAAAGAATATATAATAAAGATTATTTTTAGATTTATTATGATAAGAAAAGAAATTATTTTGAAAAAGGGGTTAGTTTTAAAGTATTATGATAATAAATATCTTAAAAGAAATTATTTTATAAAATGATTTATTTTAAATAAATAAGTTTATGATTTTAAAAGATTAATTATTGATATAATGAGAAACAATTTTCAAAAAAAAAATTGGAAAAGATTATTTTTTGAATAATTATTATGAGAAATAATTTAAGGATTTTATTTTGTAAAGGATTATTTTGAAATAATAAATTAATGATTTTTAAAAGATTAGTTTAGAATTAAAAGGATTTATTTTGAGTTATTATAATAATAGATATTTTAAAAGTAAAAGATTAGTTTAGAATTAAAAGGATTTATTTTGAGTTATTATAATAATAGATATTTTAAAAGTTTTTATTATATTATAATATACGAATGTTACCTGTGTTTGTCACATATTACAATGATACCGACAATTTGACACTCATATTTATACACATAGTATTTATCTTGTTTGATATTGTGTTTGACCTGAATGGCTATTTGGAAGCTTG